GCACCAATTCTCCCTCATGTTGTATGCACCCAGTTATTTCTCTTACGTCTCCCATGTATTTTCTATATTGCATGAAGTTTGTAAGAAATAGTTCCTTCAACTCTGCAAAACTTCGGATGTTGTTTGGTGCTATGATTTAGAACCAAGCTCCCATGTTTATATTTAGGGTCTTAGGGAAATGGGTGAACCAAAATAGTTTGTGTAGTTTTAGTGACTGCATGTGCCATTCATATGCGTCTATATTGCTATCTTGGTAAGTTGTTCCATTATATACTTTTAAGTGTGGGAGTTTGGTTGTACTAGGCATGTCATATTCATGTAACTCTACCAAGAATGGCCATGTATGTTGATATGATGGGGTTACATGGTTATTTCCCTGGTATTGGGGAAAAGTTGTGTGTTGGATTATCAGGAAGTTTGTTTGATGTGTTTTTGTAACATGCTTGTGAATGTGGGAAATAGTTGTGCATGAACTTTGTAAAATAGCATGTTGGAATATGATGCAAACATACCAGACTGGGGTGATGGTGTAGTCATTATTTGCAGAATGTTTGACATGCTGGTAGGGATGAGCATGGGACGGAACCGGTACCGACCCGTCCCGTTCCCGATTTCCCTAATACCCGAATTTGATCGAAAGTTAATCCCAAATACTAAACCAAATTAACATCACCAGTACCGGTACCGGGAATGGTACCGGTACTGGCGGTATCGATTCTCGAATTTCATGTATTTGGAGTACCAAGTACCCTCCCGTATTTTTAAATTCAGTACGGTTCGTTACCAGTACGGGATCGGGATTTGGGACAAACTGCCCATCCCTATATGTTGGTGAAAAGTGTAGCTACGGATGGTCGTGTCATCGGTGTTGAGTAAATTGGCTGGAAGTTTGGTATTTTCTGCACTTGTACGCAAGGATACATTCCTATCTATTGCGGTGTAAATGGTGGCGTATTACCCGAGAGTAACGAAGTTGGTATTTCCTTCATGTTTGGAGCGAAGCTGGTCTAGGTTGACTGCAGTTCACTTATTGGTGTGAGTATGGGTACACAAAACTTATTTATCGACATTCTCGATGTGGGAGCGTATACGACGGTAAAGATGGGTGTCTGATTTGTTCAGTGAAGACTGATTCCATGGACGTCATTGGTCGAATAGGGGTTTGCTCCGTGTTGCCGGTACCTCCTTCACTGTCGTTAACCATGATCGGTGTTTGGGGATTTAGGCTTTTAGTATCGTTGTCTCAACAATCGGATGACGCCAACGATGTGATATCAAAGTTCCGACGTGTAGTTAATGGAGTGAATGGAATCTCTCTGATGAAGTTTGCAATCACAATAGGTAAACATGCCGTCAACCAATCTCCGAGAGGAGGTCTCGGGAGAACGCTCCGACGGTTAAGTCAGTTTATGGTAAATGAGTGATTATGAGTAAAGTGCGAGGCTAGAGAGATTTAAGGGTGAGATCCCTTTACCGTTGGAGGTACAGATCCTTTTATAGTGAAGATCGGGCACGGATCCCACTTGTTGAGACATGGGTGTCAAACCCCTAGCGAGGCAGGGAGCTGATTCGTAAATCATACCCATGTCCCCTGCCTGAGCCTTGATTGGCTTAGGCATGGTAGTGGTGTGTGCACCCGCACTGATGTCACCAGGTGTTTGGTTGTCGTCTATTGACTTTCCCATGCGAGTTCCAGGCTGGAACTCAATTGTCAAGGGCCATTCCTTTTTAAGGTGGAATAGGTGCCAGGTGGTAAAGGTGACAGGTCGGCCATGACATATAATCAAGCGTCTTTGGTACTTTCTGGTGTGTCTAGGAGGCACGACATACATACATACATATATATATATATATATATATATATATATATATATATATGTGTGTGTGTGTGTGTGTGTGTGTGTGTGTGTTTAATGATTTATAAATACGATTAGAGTCTTGGTCTAGGGGTTATGGCATTAGGTTCCCATACTAGAGGTTGCTAGTTTGAAACTTGTCTCTTATTTTTCAAAACACAAATAAAAACCAAAAAAACCAAATATTAAAAATCATATGTGTTTCGTGAATTACATAGATGTGTGTATACATGTTTCATGAGTTATAAATACAAATAAAAGCTTTGTTTGGTGGTTAAGGCGTTGGGGTATTATACTAGATGTAGCTAGTTTAAAACTTGTCTCCTTTATTTTTGTCATTTTTTTTTGCTACCATCATCATGCTTTATTAAGCTTAACTTTGAGTCCCAAATAATTAAGCTTAACTTTGAGTCCCAAATAGGTTGAAGGATCAAAACTTCAGCCATCTTCACCTTTATATAAGTCATGACTTGAGGTGCATTAAGTAATGACTTACAGTTTGGTTTAAATCGAAAACGAATTGAAAACCTAATAAACCGAACCCATCGGTATGACTTCAAATTCTTAGAAACCGATACTCTTCGATTTTATGTCAAAGCCGATCCAACTCCGACCCATACTCACTCCTAATAGAATTAATGCAAGGGCATCTAATTAAGTAAATATAAAAAGTAGAGTTAAATATAAATATGGCTAATTTTAGTCTTTTGAAGTCAGCAATAGGGATTGATAAAAGTAAAGCTTTTCGTTCGAGATTAGGCCATCTCCAATGGTAGTTTAATAGAGAGTTGAATGGGGAGTTTAATCTCATTAAACTCAAAATCCCCAATGTGGGTTAATGAAATGAAACTCAATAGAATGGGGAGTTCAATCATCATCAATCCCCATCGAACTCCACTCTTTCTCTCTCTCCTCACACACACACACACACATAAATGATACATAAATGATGTGGTAATCCATTAAATTGTATTGGGTTTAATGGAGTGTGGAGTTTAATATGTAAAATTGTATTGTAAGTACAATGTACATATGATAATCCATTGAACTCATTTGAGTTCAATGCATTGAAGATGACCTTAGATTAGTCTTCGTTTTTGTTGGAATGCTTTCAGCTTAAGAGAACTGCAAGCATAAGAAGACATATATAATAGAGTTGCACTCTTAGATCGCCACCCACATTAAAGAGGATTTGTATCTTCTTCGTGAGCTAGATGATTGCCTCGGTAAAATGCAGGAGGATCTAAGGACCCTAGTTGTTTGAAGGGGGTGGTTTGACCCACAATCAAAAATCATAACGGAAATAGCTTTTTTGGCCATAAATTATTCCTTGTCTCACTTGAATTTCGTTTTCAAGATGGTGAAAGTGTTTGCGTAGCTTAAAAGTGTCCATAATGGAATCAAAAGTCATTTTTTCTTCAACTTTTTTTTTTTTTTTTCATTTATGTTATCCCTTTCTTTTTCTATCGATATCTTCTATGATACATTCCCTACGGGAAATTAACAAAGAAGTAAGTATTTTAATTTGAGTATATATGAACAACAATAAAACTTGTATCTCTTTTATACCAATTTTGTAGTAAAAATGACAATTTCGCATTGCCATTCCTAAACATAATTTCACAAAATAACAAAACACATGCCCAAACGAAATATTCACAGTGGGGGTCCCCAAATATGTAGTGAGCTTGACATAAAACAACAAACTACTGTTGTAAATAAGAGTTTCACCCATAATTTCTCGGTGGTAGCACATTAAAATATATGGGTATTTTAAGGCACTCATAAGTTTTCAGGCTATTTTATGACAAATCATTGCTATTACATAGTTTGTCTTTTACTTTTTATTTTTATTTAATGAGGTATAAAATTTTGTCAGTTTCTTTGGAATTTATATAGATCTTTTGAATATATATATTCGCAAATAACAGTTTACATAATTATATGAAAGAAATGTTGATACCTTATTCATCCAACAAAATAAACTATTTATTTATATAATTGTAACAATATTATATTTTATTACCAAGTTTTTTTTATGAATATATGAATTCTTGTCATACATTTTATGAATATTCTAAATGGTATACGTTTTGATTAATAGAAATGGTTGCATAAATTAACTTTTATGATACTTTTTTTTTTTTTTTGGCAACTTGTGGAACTCTGACAACGAGATAGAAAAAAAAAACGAAAAAAAAAATCACTACATATATTAACTTTTGAAGCTAAAATTGGGGTTTGCAGCGTTATTTTATTTATTTATTTATTTTTTACGTATTAGAAATCCAGAAAAACGCTATATCAATAATATTATAAAGAAATTCAGATTTCCTAAGAATAGACGTCTTGATTAAATGATAGAGTTTCTAAAATTCCACAAGATCCCCAAAAAATCACCACCACCGCATCAAAAGCCTTAACCAAATCAAATCCCCAAGTAATGAAGTCACTTAAGGATAATTAAGAGGGTTACAAAACCTCCCCCCACCAAATACCAATCCTAACCCACAACTCAATCGAGAGGACACGACCCTTGAGAAAACAAGTCATGAGACCTAATATACCTTTCAAGATTCATTTTGTTATGTTAATTACTCTTTCAACATATATAACTTCGTGTATACACATGTCATGAGACCCAACATAAAATACGGTTACAAAAACACGATCATATAATTACCAAATTCAATGCATGTTGCTCGTTAAACTTCTACACAACACAGTCTCTTTAAAGTTCTTTAACAAAGACTATACTACTTTCAAATTTCATGGTAGATTTCTTTCTTAGGCTTTTAAACCAAAACAATATTCTAACAAATTAAATTAAGTTATAGTAATATTTTATGTTTATAAAAAAAAAACAAGACATGTTTCTACAATTATCGGGTCCGTTATTTGAGGATCAATCCATGATCTCCAAATAATTCTTCAAATTCGTATTTTATTCAACTTATACGGTACAAACATCCATAGCAGTAGCAAAATATACATGGGAAACAGTGTGTTGACTTATATTTTACATTAACTAATCGATTAAATAAGGATGATTAGTGCTAATTAAATACAGTTAGATGGTAGCTCTACAATCTCCCTCATAAATAACCTCCCATCCACCTCTTCAATTCCACCATCTCCACAACCATGGCGATCCCTCTGGTAATTGCACTTGTCGTCGTCTTCTCCTTCATGGAAACCACCGTCGCTACAACGTATAATGTCAGAACAATGGGAGCCAAAACCAACGGGAGAACAGACTCAACCAAAACATTCATGGCTGCATGGTCTGGTGCATGTGGCTCATCCAAACCTGCAACCATTTACGTCCCAAACGGAAGGTATTTAGTTGGTGGGTTACGCTTCAGTGGTCCATGCAAGAACAAAGCTATCACCATTCGTATCGATGGCACCCTTGTGGCTCCTTCCAATTATGTCGCTGAGTATTGGCTTCGGTTTAATGTAGTTGAAGGAGTAACAATTCTCGGTGGCATTCTTGATGCTCAGGGTGCTGGTTTATGGGCTTGTAAGGCTTCCCGAAGAAACTGCCCCTCCGGAGCAACGGTAATCATTGATTGATCTATTTGTTTTCATGGTTAATTTAACTGCTGCTTAATTTGGTTTTTGAAACGAGAATGGTGGTTGAATTGTGCAGAGTTTAGCGATCTTCAACTCTAAAAATGTTGTGGTGAGTGGGTTGAGTTCATTGAACAGCCAAATGTTCCACATCGTGGTGAACGGTTGCAATAACGTGAAGGTGGTTGGGGTGAACGTGGTGGCGCCGTGGAACAGTCCAAATACTGACGGCATCCACGTGCAGTTGTCCACCGGAGTATCAATTTTGAACTCCAAAATCAGCACCGGTGATGACTGTGTCTCCATTGGCCCTGGTACAACCAATCTATGGATCGAAAATGTCGCTTGTGGGCCAGGACATGGCATTAGGTAAGTACCCAAGAGGTTAAACTCTAAAGGAATCTGTAAAGTTGTAATGATTAATGGCGTGTGTTATTGTAGCATTGGAAGCTTAGGGAAGGACTTAAAAGAAGAAGGGGTGCAGAACGTGACAGTGAAGAGGGTTACTTTCAAAGATACAGATAACGGGCTGCGGATCAAGGCATGGGCGAGGCCGAGCAGTGGTTTCGTTAATGGCGTTCTTTTCCAGAACGCCGTCATGACCAACGTCGAGAACCCAATTGTCATCGACCAAAACTACTGCCCTGGAAGCAAAAACTGTCCTCGTCAGGTATGTTTTCAAAATGTTAATTCTCTTTGGAGTTTGGATGAGTTTTTATTAAGTTTTTTGTTCAACGAGGCATAAGTTTTGAAACGGTTGCAGGTTTCGGGTGTGAAAATAAGCAACGTGAAGTATCAAGACGTGCATGGGACATCAGCGACGAAGGTTGCGGTGAAGTTTGATTGCAGTAAGAAGAATCCATGTAGGGGAATCACGATTCAAGATGTGAACCTGAGCTTCAAGAACCAGCTTCCGGCGTCTGCATATTGCGTTAATGCAGCAGGAAGAGCTTCCGGCGTTGTTAAACCCACAAGCTGTTTGTAGAGTAAGGTTTGTTGCCTGAGCCCGTGGCCGGAGAATTTTGTTTTAATCGCCTGGCTTTGCACCGATGTTTCATTGTTTAGTGGTAGGGTTTGTTTCAGAGTGTTATAAATTGGGGTTTTGGTGTTGTATGTAAATGTTGATTGAAGATATTCTCAATCTTATATTCCTATTGGTGCAACCTTTATTTGCTTCATATATTTTGATAAAATATCCGCGTGTAAACTTTTAACTGTTTTTGTTTTTGTTGTATTTGCCCGTTCAAAAAAATTGTAATGTTATATTTGCAACAAAGGCAATCTATTTGCTTGATTGGAATGAAGTACTTCGATTTTGGATGCAAACATAGCGTTGCAAGCTTTAAAACCGAAAAACCGAACTAGAAGTGGAATCAGTTGGAACCAGTTGATGATACTTGGTCTAGTTTCGGTATCGAACACCTACTTAAATAGCACACTTCGTAATAGTATTGAACCCGAACCGGAACCGGAACTAGGTAGTGCTATTTGGTTATGTTCTCGGTTTCCAACTCTCTCCTTAATCGGTGTTCAGTTCTTACGTTTCCAGTCCGGTTCGGGCTAGCTCCAAACTGATTTACATCCCTATATAGTGTGTCTTTTGCAAAAATAGCTAGTATCGTATAGTGCAACTAGAGATGTGTTGGTGATTTGTATTATCAATATGTATTTAAGAGTAATTGATTAATTTATTGACCAAATACAATCTTGATAAACATTAAGTAAGGGAGGTGCGGAGTGCAGACTTATTTAAGTTGATCAAGATTCAAAGTACAATAGTCATTTAAGGGCTAAGTCCATGAACGAACGGGGGTCGGGGCACCGGCCCTAGAAGCGGGGTCGTCCAAGGGGCGACAACCCTGGCAAGGTCCAAGGGGTAGAGCCCTAGGCTGTTGGAAACTATCTTGTTACAATTTGGACAGTTTTGGGACATGCAAAACTACTTTATGACAGTTTTCAGAAAAATACGATTTATAACCAATTATGGTCATATTTTATGGTACATACATGAAATTCATAATCTCTCATTCTTTGTTCTTGTTTCTTTTATTTTGAGTCTTATTCGATTGTTGATTTTGGGAGTACCACTGATATACTTCAATTCGAAAGTATCATCACGATTCTCAGAATTCCAAGTGCTATCATACCACAAATCTCTAACGAAAATTGAAGTATTCCATGACATTGGAAAGTGGCGCTTTTGTGAAGGACATGACAAGTAAGTTTGACAAGTTGGTGAAGTTTGAATGCTAAAACTTTCATAGATGGCAGAAGAAGATGAAATTTCTCCTAACCACTCTGAAAGCGGTGTATGTTTTGAGTACACTCATACCAGAATTGGCTGAAAATGAAACTTTGGAGGCAACAATGAGGAGATCAAAATGGGATAATGATGACTACATCTGTCATGGCCACATAGTTTGCCTGACTCTCTTTTTGATATCTATCAAAATGTCGAATGTGCTAAACAACTATGTGATTCTCTTGAATCTAAGTATATGACTGAAGATACTTCTAGCAAAAAAAGAATTGGTCAGTAACTTTATGGGTTACAAGATGTAGGGCCGGAGCTAGAAATTTTGCCGGTAGTAATCATAAAGCATCAAATGTGTTTTTCCTTTACCTAAAAAATAAAAATAAACAAGAATCATAGGAAATGAACACATTATTAACAAAAAAACAATCAATAACCACTTACAGTAAATTACTAAAACAATTATGAGATAAATATGTCCAATTAAAAAAGTTCAGAAGGTAAATTACTAAAACAATTATGAGATAAATATGTCCAATTAAAAAAGTTAAGAACGAGTGATGATAGGTACTGATAGGGTCAATTACTTTATCTTTACTCATCACTTTATTTTTATTCAAGTCTAAAGTGAAAACTCGATTACTTTGGTACTATATCTCCTAGTTATACATATGTAAATCAACCTTGGAACAAATATAATGTGATAGAGACATGCAATACAACGAATCTACATCATTGATCAAGAGTCGAGAAGAAAAGCCATAGAGGTGACTGACGCCCAGTTGGGGTTGACATTGTGTTTGATAGGTGGAGACGTAAAGTTATAACAACCATTAATGCACTTAATGAAGGTCAATAGGTGGAAAAGAAGGTGAGATTGGAGATGGAAGGGGCAGAGATCTTCAAGAAGAACACAATATCCCTCTGAATGTGGTTTAAATTATTTTTTTCAAATATTTTTAAAATACTTTTTATTTGAGGAATGAGAATTAGGTTTTTTTTTTTGAATTTTGAAAGTATATTAGAACTTTCCAAAACATTGAAAGTTTTTTAGAACATCCAATTTGCATTCTTAGCTCTCTCAAATCATTTTTCTTTTTTAAAATATATAGATATTTGTAATTAAAAATATTGAGTTAAGTATACAGTGGTTATATGTTTTCATATGTGTGTAGTTAGAAAGAATTATTTAACAGTCAAAGAATATGCTATGGTTCGTTTGAAAAATACACATAGGGACATTTTATAGGTAGACAAGTTAGGGGGAAGCAGTTGTCTGCCCCTATTATCTCCGCTACTAACAGGATGATTGATTCTACGTCTGTTATGAAACAATTCAATGAAATGTTAAGGATTCTATGACAATTTGCTTAACAAAATTTGAAAATTGATAAAGCTACTTTTGTAGATGTTATCATTGACAAACTGCCCCCCCCCCCCCCAATCCTAGAAAGAGTTTAGACACACTCTGGAACATAACAAGGAGGAATTAACTTTGGTTCAACTTGGAATCCATTTACAAATTGAAGAGGCTTTAAGGACTCACGAGCATGATAATAATTCTAAAGTCAACAACAAAGTTAGTTCCTCCTCTATGAATACGGTGGAAGGATAAGGATCAAAGAATACCAAAATGTCTAATGGTAAAGGGAAGTTCAAAGAAAAGGATGACAAGTCTTCCAACAATAAGGTAATAATTGGTTTATTTGAATTGTACCAAATCGGGTCATTTCAAGAAGGATTGTCGTCTTCGCAAAGTAAACAAGGATGTGAGTCCTAGTTGGTCTAAAGATTTAGAAAAGCAACAAGCTCATATTTCTATTTTCATGTAGAATTCTAATTATATTCATAATTATGTTTATGTGATTTCTAAAGCATTTTATATGTAGGATGATGATGTTGCACAGTGGGTTGATTGAGGAGCAACATGTCATGTTTGCAAATGTATTCATTGGCTTAAAGAATGTCAAACAATCGAAGATAGATCTGTTGTGAGGATGAGAAATATTGTAACTGAACCAATCAAGGGTATAGGATCTGTTTTACTTTAATTTATTTTTGGAAAGTGTTTTTGTTTGAACAATGTGTTGTATGTACCAGGGATTCATAGGAATCTCTTATCTAAAATAGTTTTAAATAAGTGTGGTTAGAAACAAGTATTAGAAAGTTACAAGTATATTCTATCTAGACATGGTTCTTTTGTGGGATGATTAGACTTAATCTTAATTATCCTTCTTATGATAATTTGATTTGCATGGCTTCAACTAGTACTAGCAATAATTTTAATAAATCTGATTTATGGCATGCTAGATTAGGACACATTCATTACAAGAGATTAAAAAATATGTCTAAAATGAGTTTAATTCCTGCTTTTCATATATATATATATATATATATATATATATATATATATATATATATATATATATATATATATATATATAATGAAAAGTGAAAACATACATGTTAACTAAAATCACTAGATAGCCTTTTAAAGATGTTCTTAAGGAAAGTATGGTATTGTAACTCATACATAGTGATTTATGTGATTTTCATGCGATGCCTTCCATTGGAAAAAAAAACTATGTTATTAATTTATTGATGATGTATCTAGGTATTGTTATCTATTTGCTACATTTAAAAGATGAGACTTAATAAATTTAAGATTTATAAAAGTAAGTTGAGCTTCATAAAAATGAATGAATAAAAGTTTTGCGTATTTATAGAGGTGGTGGGTATTATGATCCAATTTATTTCGAATCAACTAGAATAATACATCAAACCATGACTCCTTATACACCACAACAAAATGGTGTAGCTGAAAGGGAGAATACGACTTTAAAAGAAATGGTTAATTCCATGTTGTCATATTCTGACTTGAGTAATGAATTTTAGGGAGAGCCTATGTTAACTTCATGTTGTATCTTGAATATAACTCTAAATAAAAGGATTAAGAATGCTCCTTATGAACTTTGGTATAAAAAGGTACCAAATTTGAGTTATCTCGATGTTTGGGGTTATAGAGCAGTTGTAAGGCTCACGAAACCCAAAAGGAAAACATTGAGTAAGAAAGGAATATGTTGTATCTTCATTGGATATCTTGAGCATTCCAAATAATATGGATTCTATATTTTAGAAGCTAATGACTCTGTATCTATAAACATTGTTATAGAGTCAAAAGATGTTATCTTTGATGAAGAGAGATTCAAATCCATACCAAGACCAAGGACATGATTCAATAATCTTCTACCAAGAACACAACTCAATATGAAGATGTTTCTAGTGGTACAAGTTTTTTACCTAAACCTAGGAAAAGCGCAAGAGCTAGAAAAGCTAAGTCTATTGGATATGATTTTCAAATTTATTTAGTTAACGGGAACATTGGAGAAGACTGTTTATCAACATCAATATAGTTATATTGTAACATCCTAATGATAAGGTACTTCTAATTTTGACCCTATAATATTATTATAATGAAATTTAGATCCTAAGTATAAGAAAGAGCACAATTAAGGCCCTAGTGGCATTTTCGTAATTTGGGAGTTCGGGGAGTACACCATGCATACATGTGTACACTGAGCATACTAGGGTGCTCCCTAGTACACTGGTCATACATATGTATCAGGGTGTACGTGTCACGCATGAAAACCCTAAGTTTTAGGGTTTGACTCATATTTAAACCCCATTATAGCCTCATTTCCTCTCACTTTATCAGCCTCCATCCTGTTAGCACGTTTTTGCAACCCTAATCCATATTGTGAGGCATTTCTAAGCCTGAGTATAAGTGATTTGTGCTTTTGAAGAAGAGTGAAGGAAGGAGAGACCACCTTGGAAGAGTGAAGCTCTTTAGATCCATGACGTTACCACCTTTTGGCACCATTTTAAGGTATCAAGTTGTGAACTTGGTGAAG